ACACACACACACACACACACACACACACACACACACACACACACTTTGGACTTGCCATACTAACATCAGTTTGCTCCGGCTGTCCATACTGGGACACATTTTGATCAGAAGTCGTGAATACAGACTCGAAACTATGAACTTCTGATTTGCAATGTATTGCAGCACAATCCCTGTCCGTCTTTAAGTAAGCACCTGGCACATGTTGGTCAGCGAACTTGATGTTGATGATGTAATTTCCTGGTTCAGTGGGGCAGTAGGTGACCTTACAGGTGCCGTCCTCCTGGTCCTCGGTGTTGATGTCAACTTTACTGGGCCCCTCAATGGACAAGCTCAGGCCGCCATAGCCTGTGTGTTTGGAAGAAACACGAGAAAGCGTGAATAAATATGAAATCTGGATAACTGAAAAAGTAATGTAGAATTATTTTCTTAACCAGCGTGTACCTGCTTCACGAGTGTCGATGATAAACTCAGCAGGCTCAAAGGTCCGGGCTTCGTTCAGGCCCTGTCCACTCACACGCACGCGGCTGGCGTCGCCAAACTCCGATTGGTTGATCATGACAGAGATGGGGCTGCTGGGAATATGGCGACCGTTCTTCTTGATGTTCACAAAGTGCTCTCCGATCTCCTTCGGAACAAACGAGATGCCTGCGACAGACAGATGCATAAAAAACAGCAGGCGGAGGGTTAAGACGAGGATAAAGAAGCATGACAGCAGTCTCTTCTTCAACCAGAACACACACTCACCAACATGGCCGTTACGCAGCATCTTCAGCAGGCAGGGCTCCTCGCGGCCCGAGGGCGTGGTCAGGGAGGCGGTCAGCTGGCTGAGGTCAAACTCCCCGATGTCAAGCGGGATGTCTGCAGATGAGCCCACCTTCAGATGGGACATCCTCATGGAGTCATCACCTGAGGACACACAGCAGTGACAGGCACGCTCAGGAGAGAAGATAGTATAGTATAGTGGATCACAAACTTTTCCTGTGGCTCCGCATTTTTTCAATTGGTAACAATATTTGGAAAACTAGTGGGCCTAACAAAAGGAGTTAAAGCATGACCCCAGCTTTGGAACCATAGGGAGTTCTTCTTTTGGGCTTCTATGAGTGCAGGCATTAGTTTAAAAGGTGCAATGTGTAAGATCTGGACAGAACTTTACGTATTCTTGTTTTTAGGTTGTCTGTGATTCTTCATTCTTATGATCAGATATCTCTGGAACGCCTTGAGTGGATTGCTTACATTTTGGGTGATTAAATCTGGCTGTGACCATCACAAGACACATTTCAGGCCATAACTCAACAATTCATATGCTTATTATGACAATTTCACACCAATCTCTAACATGATAAAATGATAAAGTGATGACATTTTGGAGAGACTTGGATGTAAACTACATGACATACACTGCGAGGCTGTAAACAGATTGTAGGGACTCAGTATAGAAGTGAAATGCTGCCTAGCGTTTGTTTGAAGCATGTGGCCAGGGCTAACACGTTGCACATTTAAAGTTGGATTCATTTTTCAAGTTGCTACAAAGAGATCCGGTGAATGTGAAAATGTCGGGGATGTGCTGGACTTCGTCTTTCCAGTTCATAATTGAAGATCTGAGAACAGGTGATCTTACCAGTGATCCTAGCAGAGAAGGGGCTGCCGGGGATGTGCTTGTCATTGTATTTGACCAGGATGCTGTAGTCTCCGGGCAGGACAGGCAGGTAGGAGACGGTGCAGGTCCCATCCTGGTTGTCAACACAGCTGATGTCTGCCTTGGATGGACCCTCGATGGCCAGAGACAGACCCCCTACAAGGACACGATGTGAGCAGACGGTGTTTAGTGGGATTGCATTTTCAAAAATAAAATAGATGCATGTATATAATAATAATAATAATAATAATAATCATAAATAAATACAGTTTGATTTGATCAAAATGAATAATACATTAAAAGATGATGCGTACAATGGTTAAACATTTATTGGTACAGTCAGGACTTCTCCATTTCTACACAAGCTGCTGCTACAGTACGTACCCTCCCCGGCATCTTTAGTGTTGACAGTGAAGACTGCTGGCTTGTTGACGGTCCCGTGGATGAGGCCAGGGCCGTAGGCACTGACATTACCACTGTTCATGTAGTCCACATAAAACTGTAAGGGACTTCCTGTGAATGACATCAGAGAGAAGTAGAAGGATTTCTCAAGCACGTTCAACGCTATTAATTCCTGTTTTGCAAACAGTCTGATGTTAAGTTGTACCAGGGATGTGGATGCCGTCGTATTTGATGTCCATCTCGTGCAGACCGGCCTCAGTGGGAGCGTACTTGACAGTCACAGTGCCATCCTTGTTGTCTGTGATGTCAGGCTTGGCCACCTTGCCTGATGGCATCCGGACCTCACCTTCATCAGGGGACAGAAACACAGCGCACAGTGAGACGCAGAGAGCATTGCTAAAGATGGCGTGCTCACTATAGTTCAGACCTACCTGTGATCTCTCCCTTCTGTATGGTGAACGGGATGACGAGGTCAAACGGCCTCAGCCCCGCCACATCCAGACCATTCATTCCCATCGGTCTGTCTGTTGCCTAGGAGACAAGAGGGCAGAGGTCAGATATGCAGTTCGTGGGGAGGTTGTTGAGACGGGTGTTACAGTAACGTTGCAGTAGCAATCAACACATCGTAGGACGGAGGGGGGGGGTAAAGGTTCCCTAACACCAACACACAGAATGGGATGAGACAATCGTGAGATGAAATGATTGACGATGGAGGAGACAATGGTGATCATGGTCAGGATGATGACACCGACACAAAGCTGCGAGAGGATGAGATGAGGACAAAAACACCGCTAGGTCAAAGGAGGATGACAAAGCACAGTTGGCCATTTTGTAAAATGTGGAGCGGCTGACATGTCCACATTGATCGCTCTCAAAATGGCTTTTGTCTTCCAAGCGAGTTGACATGGAGCACTGCTTAACAGATGGTTGCACATTGATTGCAAGGAAAAATATTTCCCATGTTGCTGAATAAAATCTGTGTGCACACATTTGGAGTGGCAATGTATCAATTGTTTTATTTATTTTGTATTGTGCAGCTCTGTTGCACTGTCCATGTGTTTAAGGAATCCTGTTTATGAGATGGAGAGAGAAAAAGTCCCCTCAGAAGTAAAAACACCTGCAAAGAGAGACAGCAGACACTGATGCAGGCTGATGAAAGGAGGCCATGTATGATGACATGGAGGAGAGAAAGGAAGACAAAAACTGAGATGAGCGGGATGAGAGAGGCTGGAGGCAGAGGTTTTAGGTACCCAGGGCTGTTGAGCGTAGTACGAGGGCATTTGGCTCTGCTGCATGAGCTGATCTGATGGAGCTCCTTCCAGCGCCTGAGGGGGTGGGGTAGGTAGGGGTTGTGTCGGGGAGGGAAAGGGTAAAAAAGATGGAAAGGGATTGGAGGGAAATAAAACAGCAGTCAGAGTGAATTAGAAAATGTGTGGCGCAACCGGGACCCAATCACGAAGCTTCTGTGGATAAAAACAGCATCAAGGAACTTCAGTCCATGTAGCATCCCTCACTCACAATTTTCCACTAAACACATACAGAGCTAAGAGTGTGTTAGTTGCTCCGTTTGTAATCCTAGTTTATCCTAGATGTCCTGCCTGTCACAAATCCTGTAATTAATATCCAGCTGAAGGCATTCCTCGTAAACCACTGCAGCTTAAAGGGATAGTTCAGATGTTTAGAAGTTAGGTTGTATGAGGCTCTTCTCCATACTCAATGTGTCACTACAGTAGATGAAGTTTAGAGAAACAGACAGGAGAACCAGCAAAGGAGCAAAGTAATGTACTGCTGTGATGTATTTTAGACACCTAAAAAGATCACTATATTTAGAATATTTTCACTGCTATACCTTCCCAACATTCAACTCCAGAGCGTTGTAAAGTCTAAAAGTCTAAATGTATTTCAAAAAATATAGACGTAATCATTCACAACATGTTTTTATCTAATGAAGAATTCTGCTTCAATCTATATTTGTTGGAGTTTATGAAATCATAAAATATGACAACAGACATTCCAAAATTCATTCAAATACCTCAACAGTTAGAAAAAAATGACGTTCAGTACAGCCTTACAACAGGGATGCTTGCAATGTCTACATTACCTAATATGCAACACACACAGAGCCAAATGAGCTGGAAAAAAAAAAAAATCCAAATTCATAAAAGAGTAGCCTTTCATCATAAAATGAATCAGACTATAAGCACAGTCAGACATTTTCTTCACTGCTGTAAACAATTCCGACACACAGATTTCTAGCCAGTGTCTGAAAGTGCTTTTCTTTGTTTTGTAAAATATTAAAGAAGACTTCTCTGTAACTTCAAGACTATTCTTAACATTTGCTCTCTGCTACCTGGGATAGCTGTGAGTGAGCCTGCAACGTGACCTCATCAGTTTTCCGTTTATATTTTAGACTCCGTCGCGTCTGTTCTTGTTATTTTGTTCCACTAAACAGTCAACAGGGCATCACGGTGAAAGAGCATCTCTGCTTAACCGACCTGCCGTGTGTAAATAAAAGTCAGAATACACAGCACTCACCGTGACTTGGAAAGGACTATTAGGGATGTGCTCCCCTCCAAAGCGGACGCAGATGACATACTCGCCAGGCTGCGGCGCCGTGTAGAAGATGTCGAACGTGCCGTCCTCGTTTTCGACAACGTCCACGTCCAGCTCCGCCCCCTCGGGCGTGCACACGCTGCATGTCACCTTGCCTTTCCCAGCAGCCTTGGCGTCCACAGTGATGACTGTCTGCTCGCCAATCTGGATAGTTGGGCCGACACCAGCTCCTGAAGAATCAAGAAGAAAAGGTCAGAGGTGAGATGTAGAATTCTTTATCACACACAGTCACACACACACTTCAGCATGCACATTCCACAACCATGAGACCAGGATAAAGCTGGATGAGATCTAGTCTTGTTATTTCCATCTACTGTATGTTGTTACCAATGACTCGTAGGTTATTAACATACAGTTCCCCCATGTAGAACTGAAAGCTGGATTAGCCATTCCACCATGCCATCCTACCTCCTCTGTTAGTCCATTAGTCTGTCCAATAAATAATGAGAGAGAGAGAGAGACAAAGACAAGCAGTTATGATGGAGGAAGTGGAAAGAGATGAGTGGAAGAGAAGGCACTGGGAGGGAGATATATAAGAGGAGAGGTAGAAAAAGAGAAAGAATTGGGTATCATGTTGAAAGCTGGTGCCACTATCCTCCATGCTGACAGGAAAGAGAGAAGAGGTAGAGCAGGTCCTCTGCATTACAAAGTCGTTCAGTAGGCTTACCTAAACCGTGACCGCCGATTGAGACTGATAATAGGAACAGTGAGAAGCAGGGGAGCGAGAGAAAACAAAAGTGACAAATAAAAGACAGTCAGGTGGGGGTGGGGGTGGTGGGAGGCAATAACTGTGCTCCAAACACTTGGATGAAAACAAACGGTGGTGGAGTGGGAAGCAGGGAGGATGTGTGTGTGTGTGTGTGTGTGTGTACACAGCGGGGAGTGTAATTGAGGAGCACACCGTGAGGAACACAACATAACAATGCATGAAAAAAATGAGATCTAGCAGCAGTACACCGAGAGAGGAAATCTTAAATGACTAACATTTCACAATTGATTTATTCCCATTTTGCAAACTCACAGATGTGAATTTTCTTTTTCGATATTACTCTCGCGTCTGACGCTAAATGTGAAGCTCGAGTTATCAACCGTTTAGCTTAGCATAGCATAGCATAAAGAATAGCTGGTTACCTGTGGAAACAGGTAACCAGCTAGCTCGGCTCTATCTAAAAGGGAACTAAATCCACCTACCAGCCCCTTTACATTTCACTAATTAACATGTTCTATCTCATTTGTTTAATCTGTGAAACAACTGAGGTGTAAAAAAAGCAGCAAGTTGTGGGTTTTGTATAGATTAAATAAGATGTGATTGCTAGCCGTTTCCACTGGCATCCAGTCTTTAGGTTAACCTAAGCTAACCATGTCCCGGTCACAGCCCCGTATTTAATGGAAAAATATGAGAGCGATATCAATCTTCTCATGTAACTCTCTGCAAGAACATGAGGAACTGCATTCCCTAAAATGGCAGACTGTGGATGAAACATAAATAACACAACACTGTGTAGTGTAAAGATTTTCTGTTTTGTTCAACGGGCAGCGTCCTGTTCTGAAAGTGTTAGTGTTAGAAATCTGGGTGTATTGTATTTAACAGTAAAATTCTTCCTCATGCAGCAGAGAAGTTGACCAACAATACAATACAACAAACTAAATAACTAAAATGTAAGAGTTCATTTTTCAAATGTGTGTGAGCAGCGGTCTAACCGTTCAGTACACACCTGTGACAGTGCACTTGCTGGCATCTCCGGTGGGCAGGGCCCTGATACGGTAGGGGGAGTATGGGATCTCATCCCCTCCGTACTTAATAAGGATGGTGTATCTGCCAGTCATGTCTGGCACATATGACACCAGGTAGGTCCCGTCATGGTTGTCACGGATATTGGCCTTCTTCGGCTTCCCCTCCGGGTCCTGCAGGTGGGAAAGTGACCAAAGTTTGAAAAAACAGTTAACCAAAGTAATTGGTCTTTATTTTCATGATTTGCATCACATGCGAATACTCACAGTGATCTGCACCGCCAGCAATCCCTCGCCTGCGTCTTTGGCGTCAATGGTGAACTCGACGGGCAGAGAGGCGGGCACCCCGGTGGTGTTGAGGCCAGGTCCGCTGGCACGCACCTTACTGGCATCGTGGGTGGGGAGCACCTTCACCTTGTAGGGGCTGACAGAGGGACAGATGAGAGGAAACACTCCGGTGTGAGAACATGTTGACTGTACATAGAATCTGTGCCCGTTCAAAGTGCTTGTGTGTGTTACCTGCGTGGGATCTCCTCGTCAGCGTACAACACGTTGATGGAATAGGGTCCCTCTCTGGTGGGAACATAGTTGACTGTGTGAGTCTGATCGCCGTTATCCACCACTTCCACTGGCTCCACCACACCTGAACACATGGAAGAAGTAAAATACTAAGTGTTAAAAGTGTTTCAATTCTTACTTTCTGAATGTGACTATCGCAAAATACCAGCTTTAATAGAGAGTTAGAACACAAACTTACCTTTGGGTCCTTGTACGCGGACCTGCAGTGGGGCGACTCCAGCTTTGGAGGCATCCACTGTGAATGCCTGGGGGATGTTGGCTCTGACATTGTTCCCCAGACCTGGACCCTGGCACTTCACCTTGGTACTGTCCACTGTGTCACTGACTGGCACAGAGAACGGACTACCTACAGACAAAACCTCAGAGAAGTTAGGAAAAAAAAAGGATTCTAACGTGCTCGAGCAGGTTGGCAAGCTGAGACAGGAATGTGTCATGAAAATTGTATTATTGAAAAAAACTCAAATTTTTCCTCTTATAGTTTATGTCTTTTTAAAAATAAAAAAATAAATAAAAAAATAATAAAAAAATAAAAAATCAGAAAGTCTGTGACTTGGCCAAGATACACGATTTTCACAAGGAACCAATCCTTTCATTTGAATGCAACCAGATCAGTGCTAAACTAACTCACTCTTATTTCAATTCCTTAAGACGATAAACATCATGACAGTAAGATGGAAATGTCTGTTAGACTGATTAGTTCTTCTAGCTGGACACGTTTCGTACCTTTGATGGGCTGTCCTCCATAGGTGACGTTGAGGTTGTATTTGCCGGTCTCGTATGGGATGTACTCCACACTGCAGCTGCCATCCTTGTTATCAGTGCAGGACATTTTGGCCTCTGATGGACCCTCCATCGCCAGACCGAGACCACCAGTGCCTGCTCCTCTGCAGAGGGAAGATGATGGACGTTAAAGATATAAGCAGGAGCTCCCAGAAATTTTAGTCACAGGTAGAAAGTACTACCCCCCGACCAGGCTTTTTTTGGGGCGTAACGAGTTCCCAGAAGTTAACTTAGACTCTGGTTCCTAGCCCCTGGGGAAAGTTCCTGCAGTTGAAAAGGGGCTGGAGGGAATGCTTGGCCTCACTTACCGGGTTTCCACCGTGAACTTGTTGGGCTTGTTGGTGATGCCACCTTTCAGGCCAGGACCATGCACACGAACGCGAGCTGGATCACAGCCCTCAGTGACGGCGACATGGAACGGACTCTTGGGCACCGGAGAGCCGTCGTAGCGGACCTCCACACTATGCGGACCTGAGGCGTTTACACAATATGAGGTCAGTGTTGTGTAACTCGCCTAGAAATTCTGCACACACTGTTCTGTTCGAACTCACCCTCCTCGTAGGGAGTGTACTCTACGCTGTAGGTTCCATCTCCAAGGTCGGCGACCAGGGCGTCAGTGTGGCTGCCAGACGGGTTGCTGATGAGGGTTTTGATGTGGTCACCTCCGGTCTGTGTTAGAGCACGAGCATCCACGGTGAAGTCTGTGGTCGCCTCACGGAAAATACCTAAAAAAAACGGACACGGGAACATACACGTTGGTGAAATGTTGACAAGCTTGTACGATTCAGATACTCTCGATGTAGAGAACGAGTGACAGTGCTTTCTCTTTTTTCCTTTTTCCAAATTAGAAATCTGTAAAGCACCATGTGGAACTCATTGGAGTCATTTTCAGAGAGGGTAATGGAAGTGATAGCAGAAACACTGTACTTCACAAAAAAGAAAGTGTATTTCAACATGGATCAGTCCTATGTGGCCATAAGATACAGAAAGGGAATAGGGAAGAAAAATAAAATACATACACAAAATACATCAAATCTAGGGGCCAAAACACGAAATACCACACAAATGTGTGAACAATAAACCACATCTTGTATTTTGATCTTCTGCAGCGGGTTTTACCTTTGCCCTCCACTCCTGGTCCGAAGACACGCACTCCGCTGGCGTCGACCGCAGGCTCCACGGTGAGCCGAGCGGGGAAGTTGGGCACATCCTGGCCTCCATAGCGGATGGTGAGAGTGTACGAGCCGGGGTAGAGGGGGATGTAGGTGATGGTGTAGGTCCCGTCTCCGTTGTCCTGGATGTGAACCTCGGCTTCGGTGCCACTGTCCGAGATGATCTCGATGGTCAGCTCGGCCGGGCCGGCGTTGGTGCAGTCCACGATGAACTCCCCTTTCTCCCCGACCTTGGCGCGCTCCAGGCCTGGGCCAGAGCAGCGGACCTGAGAAGGGACAGACATACATGATGAATGACTTTTTACATGTTAAACATATTTTATTCTATGGATGTACAACACTACCGTCTGTCAGTAACAGTGGCTGACCTTGGAAGGATCGGAGACAGGATAAGCTGTCGGGTTGAAGGGGGATCCAGGGATGGGCATTCCATCATAGGTCAGTTCAACCTGGTATGGTCCCGCCTCTCGGGGGATGAACTTCACCTGACTGGTCTCTGGGCTCAGCCCTGGCTCAACCTGGAACGAGACATAGGTACAGGTTTCTACTATGGATAAAACCATATATTAACAGCATCATATGTGAGTGAGGCAAGCTTTTAGAGACATTTAGAACTTAAGGACAACATCTGGATTTTCAAACATGGACACAAAGCTTGTAGAATGCAAATCAGCAAATGATGTGCCACACCTTGCAGGCCACTGGCTTCCCTGATGGTGAGGTCACCTTGGCGGCGACCTTCCCCTGACCGCCAGCACCCTTTGATTTGACAGTCACTTCCTGGTCTTTGCCTACAGTCATCTCTGCAATGAGACACAGAGCAAAGAGATCACTGTAAAACGGACATTCTTGATCAGGTTGGAAAAAGACTATTCCAGATATCAAATGGTATGGTTGAGTTTATATGGGCAACCATGAAAATATAATAAAATAATATAAATGCATGATTAAAATATTCATGGTTAGGCAAAGTCTAAGTCAAGAGTCATTTTCATTTTCACACAGAATGAAAGAAAATGACATGAGAAAGGCCAGTGAGCTCTGGTTATGTACTGAGGTTATATATAGAATTGAAGTCGAAAGGTGCAGAGGTACAAGAGTGAGGACAGGAAAGTACGCACTGTCTCCCAGGCCTGTGACGTTGATCTTGCTGAGGTCCAGTGTGGGTGCCACGGCAACGCTGAAGGGGCTCTTGGGAATGTTATCTCCACCGTAGGTCACAGCAACTCCCAGAGGGCCCTGGGGCAGGAAGGGGAGGGGTGGCATAGATGTGATCACACTGATAAATATGTAGGAAAGGGTGGACACTAAGAATCATGCTGCCTTGGCTAACAGCATAATATAATAGAAGGACCAACATAAATCCAGCCTGTTTAGGATTGGCCAAACAAATGACAGTTCTGAGGCAATTTACACAGATGTAATGAACTAGGATAATTATCCTCAAAACTTTCATACTTTTTCGATAATAATTATTCTCAGACCTTTTATCCATGATACCATTAAAATGTGTCCATTTTAGGAATAGTTTGACATTTCACTTTCTTGCCAGGATCAGATTACAAAATCAATTCCGCTCTCACGACCAGAAGGTGATTAGTTTAGCTTAGCATAAAGACTAAAAACAAGGGGGAACGCCTAGCTAGCTTAATTAAAAAAAAGAAAACGCATACCTCTTTCGCTCAATAATTAACACATAATTACATTTAGTTGCATTTAATTTGTTGTACAGAGCCAGGCTGTGTATACTAAGCTAAGATCTAATTCTAGCATCATACTAAGCCCACAGTTATGAGATTGGAATCAGTTTTCTCATCTAACTCTGAGCAAGAAAGTGTTTCCCCCAAAAATTGCTCTGCTTGTAATCCTAGATGTCCTGCCTGTCAAAAGTCCTGTAATCACTGGTCAATATCCAGCTGAAGGCATTCCTCGTAAACCACTGCAGCTTAAAGGGATAGTTCAGATGTTTAGAAGTTAGGTTGTATGAGGTTCTTCTCCATACTCAGTGTGTCACTACAGTAGATGAAGTTTAGAGAAACGCACTAGTATTATTCAAACATATTGTTTGATTCGTGAGCCTCGTAACAAACGGTTCAATATGAATACGTGTATTGTTACACCCCTAAAAACAAATAATAACCCGTAGCTGTGGCGTCATAATGAAGTTATTAGGAGCTGGTTCTACTGTAGTAGGACAGACCTGAAGGCCCAGGTATAAAACACACGGCCCGCCACTGCTTCAAAGACACCAGACTCCACAGAAAGCAGGAGTTTCTGGTCCACTGCTGCCTCCATCATTTAGTTAGTTTGTACACTGACTATGGATAAGTACCTCATAACTCCACACTTCAGAACATCTAACTATCCCTTTACATTAGTGTGTGGAGAGACTTAGCAGAGACTGGATATGAATCCGAGTGCTTCTCCCATCTCACCTGCTGCACGGGTGTGTATTTCACAGTGTGTGTGTTGTCATGGTTGTTGATGATTTCAAAGTCCTTGACAGCCTCTCCTTTGGTTGGGCCACTGAAGTTGCAGTCCAGGTTTGCCTTCCCTGCTGCTTTAGTGCTCACAGTGAAATGAGTGGGCTTGTTCAATTCAACTCCTGAAAGAGAACGAGGATGAATCAGAGACAGCAACTGTGTGTGTGTGTGTGTGTGTGTGTGTGTGTGTGTGTGTGGTCGTCCATTTAGGTTTGATTGCAATGAACAGAATACAGCTTGTTTGTATGAACTGTGATCACAACAATAGCAAAAAATGGGAAGAGATTTGAATACAAAGATGAGTAAATGTGTATATATACATACATACATACACGCACGCACGCACGCACGCGCGCGCACACGTACTTACGCGCACACGTACTTACGCGCGCACGTACTTACGCGCGCACGCACGCACACACGTACGCGCACGCATACACGCACGCATACACGCATGTACGCATACGCGCA